CCACAGTACACACTGAGACGTGGACACATTGGTGTTCCTCTTCCCGGTGAGCAGTGGGAAAGCAGATGTCGAAAATGAAGAGGACAGAGGCATGAACTTGCACAGCCTAGTTTGGTATCATGCCTCCACTCAGGCCAGTTTGCATCTGCATCGCTGGTTCTCTGTATGTCCTGCTGTTTCAGCTCATTTACCAGCTGAACCTCTCTTCATCCTCCACCCTCAACAGTATTTACACACAGTCCATCACCTGGCTGAGGAGCCTTTCACATACCACACAGGAGAAAGCCAGAAAGGCGAACCTTCCCATAGCGTGAAAGGATGGATGCTCAAAGAGTCAGGTGTCAAAAGGGGCTGTAGGTGTGTCAGAGAAGGTGTGGAATGCTTCACTTCCACTCTGATACTTTCAGGTTCAAGGAGAGGATTGTGCTGAGCTCATGGGATTACATAACTGTGTCTATGAGCAAGCGTCATCATGGTTTCATTCACTCAAATCATCTCTGAAGAATCGGATACTCAATCATTTTGGCCCAATGCCAGAAAAGGATGCTGATCCCCAGGTATATAAAAATGTCTCTTTGTAATTGGTCATCCCCACCAGATGAGAGAGCCTAGGGTTTGTGATTAGCTGGGTCTGTGGTTTCCATCCAGCAAATCAAATGTAGAGAGGAAGATGGACCCAAATCGGTCTTGTTTGGCTGGGCAGTGGACATCATGGGTAAGACCAAAAGGATCCCAAGTCAGAATTGGAGTAACTAAAGGGAAGCAGCAGGAACTTGGATCCAAGACAGGTTTTGAGAGGTAAGTCAGGTGAAAGGATGGGAACACAGGCACCATCAACAGAAGAACCTTTAATGGGAGTCCAGATTCCCACCATGGTGATGTTAGGGTGACAAGATTCATGCCATGCCAGGCTTAAGAAAAGGAAGGGTACCCAGGGCACTGAGACCAAAGGCTGCTGCTTCCAGAGGGCTTCATAACTCTCTCCCTCCATCGCTGCAGGAGCCAGGAGCTTGGGCCAGCCACCTTACATGATTCCAACTGCAAGACCAGAGCAACTTTTCACACCAGGTCCCTCCATGCTTGGTCCTGCAGGCCTAGACCTTTGTCATTGTCCTCATCAGGGGTGAGCAAGTTTTCTTGAGAAAACTGACCCAATCCTTAAATTTGCCCTTGGCTGAGTTATACTAGAAGACAGTTCATTAATGCTACTGGATCAGTCTATTTCCTGGGGGCACAGATCCATTTGAGAGATCAAGCTGCAGATCACAAGCTCTCCAGAGATGGAGATGGAGATGGTTAAGTTTCACCAAGCTTTGCTTGCCTGCTGTAAGTCAGGGCATACTCTCTTTCTAGGACAAGGCTAGAAATACGCCAGTCAGAACTTTTCCCACCATCACCTTTTCCACGTTCTGAGCTGGCTCTCCTACATAATCACCATCATAACTTCCCTGATTCTTTACTTACACACATTCCTGACTCTGTCACAGTAGTAGAATAGAATATGTATATTCTGACTTTCTTGCCCAAAGACTGGCCCTACTTACCTCTCTAGCTGCATGACCCTGGTAAGTCCCTTCCCCTTTCTCAGCGTTTTTCCCCATCTCTGAAATGAGGGATGTGGATGAGGAAGTCTCTAAAGTCTCTTCTTCCTCTTGCATTCTGAGGCTGTAAAGCACCAGTCTGTTCCCTAATGGGCTGAAGTGTCTTGTTTTCTCCAGACCACAAAGGTGGCTCCTTTACCCTCCATTCAAAGACATCATTAATGTTGGAGGGAGAAAGGCCAGTTAGTGCCTCCCGATGATTCAGCTCCTGGCTCTGGGCCCCTGTGACTCAGGACTCCAGCGGAGCTCTGTGCAAGCTCACAAACAAACAGAATGTTCCCCTTCACCTTCTGGAAAGCGTTCTCCCCCAGTCAGGCAGAAGGTAGCAATCAGCAGTGATAACAGCATCTTCCACAAGAGAAAACACAGATGTTACACAGTGATCCGTGAGGGCTCAGTGACACAGAAAGCGGAAATCTTAGGTTTCATTTTGTTTCTTATTAGGACTGTTACCATGTTGCTCTGGCAGTAGTGGCAGCAGCAGCAATAACAACAAAAAAAATCCCATCCGGTTTGATCCAGTTAGTGCTGCAGTCCCAGCGGTCCCAGGTCTCATTAACAAGAATGTTCTAAGCTTCTGGAGGAGATTTCTTAGAAACCACCACATGTATTAGCATCAGCTTAAACATCTTTGTTAATGATCCTGGGAAATAGAGTTCAGGATCTGTCAATCTAATATTCAGAACTGATTTTAGGAGGGGGAGCATGTCACATACTGCAGCGAGGGACAAAAAAACACTTCAAATGAAGCTCGAGGCACAGAGAAGCAGAGGCAGCGAGGGTTGAGGGAGATCAGGTGGCCAGTTTGGAGGCAACTAATCCACGTGTGGGTGATTTGACCAGAATGTGGTTCTCTGCAGTCCTAGAGCCAGGCTTAGCAGGAAGTAAGTCACTGATGTCTACAATGTGTGCCTGGGATGCTGCTGACAAGCAGGATGTTGGTGCAGGATTTCTGTGGGATGGGAAAGCTCTTTATTAAGAGGAAACCTGGGACAGTATACATTTCTGTGTGACTGTGTTTTCCAATTGGAATTTTTGCAAAGTGGGATTGCTGTGCTTTGGGGCTGTGAATCATAGGCTTTGGTTTTGGGGGAGGAGCTAGCTGTGGTCCTATAGTGACCCGGCCTATGTGGACTCTGTTGCGTTCAGCTGGAAGCAGGGAAATGAAGGGAGGTAAGAGACACCCAAAGCGTAAGGGGTCATGGGAGCTGAAGGCCCCCATGCTGTATGCATCAGGCCAAAGGGTCCACACGGGATCCAAGAGGTGGAAGAGACTGAGTAGTTGTCCCTCGGTATCTGCGGGGAACTGATTCCAGGAAGCCCTGTGGATACCAAAATCCCTTATCTGAAATGATGTAATGCAACGAATACAGCCAGCCCTCTGCAGCTACAAGTTTTACATCTGCAGATTCAACCAATCAATTTCAATCCACAGGTATGGTTGAATCCATGGATTCAGAGGGCCAACTCTAGTAGATAGTTTAGCTCGTAAAATCACACAGGCTAGAAGGTATGGTGTATTTGTTAGGATATCAATTTGTTTGCTTTACTCACTACCAAAAACAACTGTAGTTTAAACAAGACAGAGAACCTAAGTCGTGGAGGGCTAGGGCAGCCCTGTCCCAGATCATTGAGAGACCCAGGCTTCTTCATGACGGAGCTCTGCTGTCCACTGAATGTTGCTCTCATCCTCCTGGTTGAAGAAGGCTGATCATCACCACGTCCACGTTCCAGCAAATGGGAAAAGGAAGGAAAGAGGAGGCGAGGGCTCATGCTTCTTTCCTAGAGCATGACACAGAAGTCACATATCACTTTCTTTTATGCCTCATTAGCCAGGACTTTGTCTTATGGCCTCACCTAGCTGCAAGGGAGTCTGAGAAATGTAGTCTTTTCCTTCCCCCTGGGTGGGTGTATGCCGAGCTAAGATAAAGGGACATAGGTAGGTAATCAGCAGTCTCTGCCACACATAGAAGCAGTTCCACTTGGGATGTTTACCTTGCGGCTTTGGAAACCTGCAGACTTGTATTACTTCCACAGGGATAGGATGAGCCCACTGCGTTTCTCTATTGCAGATCAACCCGAATGGTCCAGCCTGGTGCTGGTGGACGTTAGCAGTTCTTCCATTGGAAAGCCGAGCTCAGCTCCCGTTCCTAGCAATGAGGTCCTTAAAGGATCGACTGAACGGTATTCGGCGGGTCCTGGCCTTTATATCCCGAAACCAAAACTAGTGAGTGGATTGCTGCAAAGGAGCTCCCACGCTCCCCCACCACCCTGGGGGAGTCGTCTTGTAAATATATCTAATTGCAATAACATCTGAGAAGGAAGTATCAAACAGAGGCATTATCCTGCTATGAATCACAGAGAGAAATTAAGTAGAAAGACCGAACGGATGTGACCTGTTTGAAACTTTCTTTCTTAAGATGCTTCTTGACATGCTGCACAACTACATGCACAGCAGAGGTTGTTTAAGAGCCCAGAAGAAAAAAAAATTTTTTGATTTTGACATAAAAATTTTCTCAAAGTTTAAAGTGGTTTTGCTTTAATTTTCTGTCTTTCATAGATGAATGACTGTGTGGTTGAAATGTGAAGCCAAGTCACTAATCATGTTGTGCATTTTTTCCCTGACTTGTGGTCTCATTCCAAACAGTTCAGGTTTTACATGGCATTGTGTAAAATAATGTTCATACTTCTTTCTGTTTAAATAATTTATTTTTTGCACTACTGTATCCTTTTTCTCTTCATGTATGTATGTAACTATTAAGTGTGCATTACTGAAAATTATTTATTGATGTGGTTTTCCATGTACCTAGGGGGAAGTAACAATACTAGAAATGTGCAATATTGCTTTAACCATTTTTTGCTATATTTGATCCCAGTTCTTGAACCATTTTTGTATCTATCAGGATCATGCTAAGATCATTTATCTTCACAGATTCCCTTTTGCTTTCAGCTTGAATCGAACAATATAAAATACTTAAGGGATTTGTTTTTGCTTATGGAATAAGCCAGGGTAAAGTAAACTAATCCACTTTCTGCATGTTATACAGAGCCAGGCTGAAGGAATTATTTTTCTGGAATCAAGAGATGAATTAGAGGAGTGTCTTTTATTACAACCTATTATAGGCATTTATTTCTGCAATCTAATTATAAGTATATCTTAATTTCTGCCCAGTGCAGTTAGGAATGGAATTTTTAGGCAGGAGAATATTTAACCCTTCAGAGGGAATGGTTTTTGGTCTGGCGCATCACAGTCATGCCCAGCTAGCCTCCACACCCCACCTTTTCCCAGGGTTCTGAGGATCTGGACCTGGCTACCATGTGTGGAAACACTTGATGAAGGACTGTCCATTATGAAAAGTGTGAAGAAGCCAGGAACAAAAGTAGAACCCTTAAAAAAATCCTCAAACTATCTTTTTGGTTTTTGAATCTTTTTAAAGGAAGCAGACAATCCATGATTTTATCTAAAGACTATCTTTCCTCCTAGCTGCAATGGGCCAGAGAGTTCAGTACAGGGGAAGAATAGTGGTCAGGAGGTAAGAGTGAGCCCTTGTCTAGCTGGTTTAGTGCTAGTTTGATGTCATTAGTGCCAGGAGAACCTGAAAAATACCATGAGTCCAAGAGTGTTATAATGACAGACTGAAAAGATTAGGGCAGGGAAGAAGTGAATCGTGTTGTTCCTCCCTTCAAGCAAATTATACCCCCCCCACCATGTGATTCTGGACAGCTGCAGTGTGTGACTCACATGCGGCCCATCCACTCTGTTCCGGCCAGAGGTTAATGCCTCAAGCAATCAGTCTGACTTCTTCCATTACCACCTGTGGCCAGAAACAGAGAAGGGAGAATGAGATGATCCAGGTGACAAAAAAGAGATTCCTGTAAGCAGAAACCAAATGATCTTTTCTGCCCTTTCTTAATGAACACTGTGTTTTCAGAACACTCTGTTACCAGATTTGATGCTTGGAGCCCCACTGGACTGGTAAAGAATGGAAGTATAGGCGTGGTTACTGCCACCTGGTGCCCAACCACGTGGTCACAGCACAGTCCTAGTACAACTAGTTGCCTGCTATCGAATGTAAATGCAGCAAAGAAAAGGGTCATAAGTGTCTCCAATTGCTAGATATGTTACTTTTGTGATATCACTTTCTCCCAGCCCGAGTTTCTCATCTAGGAAATGGTGGTGATAAATACTGCATATAGGGTTATAACATTAAATGAGATAATATATGTAAATCACTTAACATAGTGCCTAGCACATAGGAGTCATTTAACAAATGCTAGCCATGATTAGATCAGTCATAGCTGCAGAGTATCATTGGGACTATATTTGCATAAAACCCTGCCTTTACACACAATACCCATTTCCAGCCTCTTTTAACTTGACCGGGGGGATCCACACCTTTGATTTTCAGACCATAACTTGATGATTTACATGTAGTTCCTTTGGGGGTCAAGTCTGTCTGGGAAAGTGAAAAGACTGGAAAACAAATGAGAGTCAGAGATGAGGGAGAATTCTGTGCCAGGAAATGTTTCATCTTTCAAGAGGGCTAAAAAGTAGCGTTGTTTGGAGGTGTAGAATTTCTGATAACATAGAAGCCTTAAGTTCTAGCTCTGTTACCATGACCAACTCATCACTCCCTGCTCTCTAAAATGTATAAAATTCCACATTACAGAATATTGCATGTTGCTAGGTGAGGACCCAACTCCAGCAAATGTAGAGCTCAGCAGGGCAGAATTGCACTTTCCTCTCAGTTAGCCTGGAGACGCATTGGGGTTATTTTGCAGCCAGCTTTGGTTTCAGTAGTGGTGGGAGGCAAGTTGCAAGGCTAAGCCTTGGCTTTCTTTGGTATGTATTTGAATGGGGTAATCAGTTGGGCATGACCATTTCACCGCTTGTAAATTGATTTTACTGCAAAGCTAGGGAATGAAGCGTATACAGAGAAAAAAACATAAGGTTAAATCTAGACCAGAAGGGCACGACTTCCCCCTTGGTAATTAGTGCCATTTATTTCGTTAGTTTATTCCTGCCTATTGTGACTGGCCTAGTCTTTTCCTAGTAGATTATTTTGTGTATGTGTGTGTGTGTGTGTGTGTGTGTGTGTGTGTGTATGTGTATATAGATGTATATAGATGTGTATATATATGTGTGTGTGTATATGTACATGTGTGTATATATATTAGGTACCAAGCAGACATTATGCCTTTCTGCTTTGTACTGTACTATTGCTGCTAGCTAATAACCAGCAAAATGTAGAAAATGAATAATGATAAAACTAATTTTCTGTAGACAACTTGGAGAAAAGAGTGCTTGCCCCTTACTTGAGGGGGGTGGCGGAGAACTGACTCTGTTGACAATTTGCCTTTTCTGAAGGCCGACTGCTTCTAGTCCTATGCTGCCTCAGCATGCTGGGGCTAGTCGAGTCACTCATTGCCTGTGTGGCACTTCCAGTTCTGCCTGTGGAGCCAGACTGGGCTCAGATCATCCCCTGTGACTGGCCATTGGAGCAATGGAGCTCTAAGGCTGGTTCACAGCACCCAGAGGTCTCTTATTGTCAATAGATCGCATACTGTTGATGAACAGGAACCCAATGGGGACTGTGTTCCCCACCACCAACTCCATTTCCAAGATGGGAATGTTATTCGGGGAATTAATTCTTGAGTTCCCAACTTGTTGACTTTGCATCCATTTTTGTTTCCCAAGGCAGAATCATAGCAGAGGTGTGTGATCGAGATGCAAATGGAAGGCAGCCCAAATAAGGGAAAAGGACAGATTTTTCAGCCCATTCTTGGGCTTGAGGAGTGAGACTTTGATTTGATCAAAGATAGTTCTAAGAAGCAGCTGGCAGCATGGGCTGCAATTTGTGGCCCTTCCTGAGTGCAGTGAGGAAGAAGGAAAGGAGCCAAGTAAAGTATGTATTTGGTTCCTCTTATAATGATCACTCCCACTGTTCGACTATTTAATAATCTGGATTATGCACATCCAGAGGTGAAATGAAGACATTTTCCCTTACAAATGGGTATTTTCAAATGCGCTAAATTAACCTTGAGAGAGAAGTGCCTGTAATTTCTGTTCCTGGTGTCATTTTAAAGCTTTTGCTTCATGACTCTGTAGCCATTTAAAACTTTGTCGCAGCAAATGTGATTAACAGAAGTTTACAAAGCAACACTGTAGCTTATGCATCATTTTTAAAGTTGCTTGACATTTATCTATCGTCAAAGCAACAATGATAAACAACAACAAAATCAAAGGAAAGCAAATAGGTCAATGTGGCATCATAGGCTTACCTTAGATAAACTAGTTCCATCATTTTCTGCAGTTCTCAGTAATGCCAGGATTAAAATATCAAGCAAGCCATTTAAACAGTGGCAAATGTGTCTTTGTGTTTGTAATTCCAGTTGTTTCTTATGCAGCCACTTTACTCTTGCACTGTAATGAACTGAAAGGGGAATTAATGCTTTTGTTTTCCTTCCCATATTGCTATTCAACTACCTCTATATGCTTGATGTCTCTTTAGGGTCTTCTTTCCTCCAAATCTGTGCAAAAGAAGTTTCAGCTCATCTATGTTGTAATAACAATGTGATATAGACAGTCTCTGTGAAAGCTTGTTGTTCATTAAAAAGTGTTTCCTATTGTCTCACTTTGTATCTAACACAACTGTACCTGTACTTTAGGGCAAGAATTGCTCGAGTTACTTCAGTATCTTTTTGTTGAAGCTGAATAGAAGGGAAAGTGATCAGAACATATATTTTGTTCTTGTTCCTATTGATTGTAATGCATTTGACTGGAAGATCTTGCAAGAAAATAGACCTGCGCTCAGAAAGCAAGCTCTTATGTATGTGACAGTGAGGCAGGTGTGACCTGATTAAATTAATTGTTTAAAAATGCACCAGAAAAGCTTGTTACTACTAATTATGTGGAAGCTTTTTGCTAATAATCTGCTCCTAGTTTATTTGTCAATCCATCCATATATTGGGTTTGCTTAAAGCAGAGCGTGCTACCTACTGTGTTTTCTCTGGCATGATAAAATGTTCATGAAAGCAAAGTACATGTTTTTATTTCAATTAAATGGTTTCTCAACACTAGGCTAAAGCTAAGGCCCACAGCATGAACCCTTTGACAGGAAAATTGGTAAAACTGACTGGGACAATGAGCCATATTGACCAAACTGACTCCAGCCCGAGGGCTTTGGCAGCATCTCATCCCCTTTACTGCACGAATTTTGGTCTTGTGCCATCGATGACTTTATACAGGTTCTATTTTACCACCGAAGAAGAGAAGACACAGGAGTAGAGCAATTAAAAAAAAACCAAAATGACAGAAAACTCCCCTTGGGCCTGACCTTGTTCTTTGTAACAGGATTTTCTGGGGGTAACTGAGAAAAATCAGAACTCCTGCCCAACCAGGCCCCAGAGGGAATGCTTGGCTCTGTTGGCCCTCACCCTTCTGTGCCTAGCCTGCAACTCTCTGATTCTCGTGAGATAGAGCACATGCTGGCCGAAGGTACGATCTTCCCTCCAAGGCAGTTCTTCTGCCCAAAGTGCCTGCCTAATTCTCTTTGGAGAACTAGATTGGATCATCTAAAAAGAAGATCTTGCTTGAGCAAAGAAAGTCTAAACCAACACTTTCTGCTTCCTCTCCTCTGGGCTCCACTCTTTGAGTTCCCCAGGGCAAAAGAGGCCTCCCTAGAAGGAATTCCCAGTCTCAAAACAAGGTAGGAGCAAGAGAAGGGAAGGCCAAATGCCTAGACCCACAGGCTCCTAGATATTTAAACTTTCCCTTCCTCCCTTATGGTTTTTTTTAACATTTTTTTATTGATTTATAATCATTTTACAATGTTGTGTCAAATTCCAGTGTTCAGCACAATTTTTCATTCATGGATTTTAATTCCATCACTTCCAGGAGGGGCTGAGGTGGGGTGGGAAGGGGCTGGTGTCAGTACTCTCCATATTGGCTTCTTCCAGGTAACACAGGAAATTCCCAGCCAGACTTGTCCATGGTCAGCCTAACGCAGAGGCTTGCCCTGGTCCAGGCAGAAAAGTGCAGGCCCCAAGGAGCCCTGCCTCTAGATCCTGAAGCCCACTTCTCCCAGCCTTTTCAGTTTTCTGTTAACTGATGTCCCCATTTCAACCGGTTCTTACATTGACTGGCCACCCATGTTCACTATCCACCTATACACGTCTTAGCCAATGTCATTAGAAAGCCCTGGAAAACTCTGTCCTCTGCTTACTGAACTGCTGCCCTCTCGCCCTCCTACAGAACACCACCTGCCTCCCAGTAAGTCAATATCCACAATTTCTGCATACCACAAGTGCAGTGAAATTAAGTCCTGAAATCACTTGCTTAACCTAAGTCTAGTTTTGCTATAAAAATCTTGTTTCTCTTGGATTTTAGAGGTGCGTGATGGGAATATTCAACACAGCCATGGGAACTGGGGAGATCACTGCTTCTTTGGCCCATCAAGCTGCCCACTGCCACGCCTGGCAGGCACCTGCATTCTTGGGACCATATACTCCTCCTCTAAGCCCCAGAGAGCACTTTCATAAGAGGACCAGGGCTGCAGGTTGGGGGAGCATAAAGTCGGCAAATGGAGTTAAGCTCTTCAGTTTGGGTGGTCTACAGGGATGAGTTCCAACAGGGAGGGGTGGGAATAAGAAGGGAGGAAGAGAAGGGTGTGGACTTTCTCATTAGATCCTGACTATAACCTGTGAAGTAGATCTCCAGTCCCATGTTATAGGGGAGTCAACCGCAGCCCTGGGTGCTTACATCACTTGCCTATGGTCATGCAGATTAACACCCGGGCAATCTGATTCCAGAGCCCACACCCTTAACCACTATCATGAGCTGCCCATCACACGGTGCCACAGACCCAGGAGAACAACTCAGCTGGTGGATACCTGGTGGGGAAGCTGCAGTGAGGATGACAGTGAAAGAGTGGCAAGAGCAGCTCCCATTTACCAAATATGAATTATGTACTGGGCACTACCTCACGGTACCTTGTTTAGTCCTGAGGTGGGTGCTGTTACCACTCATCTCTTACAGAGGAGGACTCTGCGACTCAGAAAAATAAAGCAACTTGTTGAAGCCACATGGCTCGGAGGCAGGGAGGCTGGGCTTGGAATCTAGGCTGTCTGACCCCACAGTTGTTATTCTCACTCTGCAAGTCAGACTGTCTCTCATGGAGCCCATGGCTCTTCTCACTTCTTAGGCCTTCGGTTTCCTATATTCGGCTGCCCACCATAGGCATTTATCTCATTTAATAGGAAGACCAGAAACAAGAGATTTCAGGGTTGGTTCATAGGTCCAGTGATCCCATCAAGGACCTGGTCTGTTTCCATCTTTCCTGCATGTTTTTAAAGCCTCATTATTAATGAAACCACTTCACAAAGAAAAGAAGGCTGTCAATCTAGTCCTACCTGCTGGGGGCCAGATGCCTAAAGGGGAGGGGTTTTGTGGGCCAGCAGCAATACAGGGCTATAAATTCACAGATGGAGGAATTTTTAATGTAGAAAAAGGTACTTTGAATTCTCTTTGGAACAGGTTGTAACATCTTACTGGTTCCCTCATTAATTATGAGTTAAATAAAATCTTTGACATGTGTTCAAAAAATAAGTGGAAAAGGGAGGAGGGTCTTCTTATGCTCAAAGTTCAGATTCGAGGGGGTTCACCAAAGGCCTTTCCACCTACAGGAACTGGCAACAAACTAGAGGCTCAGTAACAGTGGTAATTCTTCATCCAGGTCTGCCAAGGCAGTAACACCTCCAACTCATTCACTTATTAATGGAACGAATATTTCCAAGACACATTAAATGCTAGGCACTGGGCTACAGAGAATAAAACAACACGGTCTGTGCCCTAGGCCTAAGGAAGAAAACCCAGAGCGTTACTTTCCTCAGAGGAAAGGCACCTAATCTTGCTTGGGGCGGTATTCAAGGAAGGCTCCCTTGAGGAGGTGACGAAGCTGAATCCTGAAGGATGAGAAGTTTTCCAGATGAAAGAGTAGAGAGAGGTTGAAGAACATTCCAGGCAAAAGAAACACATGAAAAAAATCTAGTGGTCCATAAAGAGAGCACTAGCCAGTTGAGTGGCATATTGTGAGTAGTTCAGCCTGGCCAAGCCCAGGGCTCAAGGCATGGCAGTTCCTGACAGGGAAGCAGAGCCCAGTTTCTCACACTTTTGTTTTATCCTGATTGAAACCACCAGCTGGTCTTTGGGGAGGTCTGTGCAGCAGGCTTCTGGGAGAGGGGGGAGGGCTAGCATATGAAAGCGCAGCTTGCTGGCCAAGTCAGGGTTTATTGGGCAACTGCCATGGGAGTCCTCTGGGCACAGCCTGACTTCTGGTCCTGAGCCTAGGAGGCCCGTTAGGGTTTGCACGAGAGAAAGAGAAGATGGACATGTTTGGAGGAGTGATTTGGGTATTCAGAGGAGGCCAGGGTGGGGAGGGAAAGGAAGGAGTTGGCAGGGCTGGAGTGGAGGGTTGTGACTGATGAGATCTGGAGTCTTTGGGATGATGGATCCAGATGAATCTCCTTATCTTGATCAACTGCACATAAACCAGGGCCCCAGCCGTGGTGCGCTGCATCCTCCTGGCTCACAAAAGCCAACTGTTAGGATTTCAGCATTTTACCAGCCAGTTGTTAAATACAGCCATTATTTTAATAAGTTATATAAGCTTACAATTAAATAAATTACATTAAAAACAAGGTAATAAATACTCAAAGTTTGTCCCTTCTGAATTGTTTTACTATTTTTTACTCTCATCTTTGCTTTTGAAGTTATTTGGTGCTCCTGCATCTGTAGGTGGAAATGGTATATAACAGTATGCCACACACTGAACACCTCTTTCCAAGTCCACGTTTGGTGACAGCAGGTTGCTAGCTGAAATCAACCGCAGTGGGAGATGTACATCACACTAGAAATTAGGCTCCTCTCTCAGAGAACTGGCTGCTACATTTTTACCAGCATAGCGCTGGCTCTGGGTCATTTTCCCTTTCTCTGTCTCTAAGCTTCCCCAACGCCAATAGCTGTTTTCAGGAAAAAGCAATCCTGAAAACTAACTCATGTGGACATGTGAAGTGCTAGGAGTCCGGATTTCTGGTTTGGGCTCTTAGATAATTTCTTTGAGCTTTAACAGAGGTCTTCTGGGGATGCTATAATGGTGTGATTGACAGACATTTTCAGACCAACCTTTTCCGTGGCTGTTGAAATGGACATAATAGACAGCAATCCCCTCTGTGCTTTTGTTTAAGGTCATCCCTCCACACCCACCTCCTTCAAACCACAAGCCTGAAACCTTCCCCCCAGCCTAGGATTTCAGTGGAATTAAGCAGCTGAGTCCTCATCATTCATCCCACTACGGTAATGACAAAATGGACTGACAGGTCTTCAACCCAGGAGCTCTCAGCTAGAGAGGTTTACTTTTACCCCCAGTACACAAGGGTAAGTAATAATAATAATAATAATAGCAGGAGCAGATAATGTATGTTGAGCGCTTGCTATGTACCAGGCACTCACAACACTCACAACAGTCCCAGAAAACAAATACCATTACCATTCCTATTTTATAGAAGAGGCGACTGAGGCTCAGAGAGGTTAAGGAACCTGCTCTAAAGCACAGCGCAATCAAGCAGTGAGTGAGGTATGAATTCAGGCCGTCTGCTTCCAGAGTGTTTCTTTCTTACCATGGCAGGGAGCTTTCTCCCATCAAAGCTGTCCTCATGCCTCTTCCCCTGGCTTGGCCCCGGCTCGGCCCCTCCTCTCTCTGACCAGCCTGTTCTCTCTCCCTGTCCATTGTGGGATAGCACACCTAGGGGCTTAGATGTATGGCTGAACTTGACCGTTAAGTGAGAAAATCGCAGAAACTGAGAAAGTCCCAGACCACTTCCATTTTACGATCCTTCCAATGTATTAAAACAAAGAAAAATATGAGGAAATGCCAAAGATAAAGTTACAAATTTGTAGTAACACATTCATACATTTAATATAGAGCAGTTTAATGCAATTTTATTTTGTTATTTGTAAGATAAGAGGGCAGCTGTTTAATGA